CGCACGCAGGGCCGCGGGCGCCGGGATCCCGCGGGGGGAGGGGCGGGGCGGGGAAGGGGGCCGGGGGAGGAGGGGAAGGAGCGGGAGGAGGAGGAAGGGGAGGAGACAGATGCGCTCCGCACGCGAGACGGGGAGTCTTGGGCACCCCCGTCCTGGGCTGGGCGCCCCGGGACACCGCGGAGCCCTCCTACCCAGGCACAGCGCTAGGCAACGGGTGTTTCGGGGTCACCTGCTCGAATCCTTTGAATCCTCTTTGATTCTAGCCGCCCAGAGCAGGGCCTTGCGCACCATGGGTACTCAGTTCATGCTTGGCTGAATTAACCTGGTCTAGAGACGGCCCTAAGAAGGCTCTGGAGGGGCCCCGGGAAGCATCCGCGTCTCTCCTTACGGCCCGGGCCTGGGAAGGGACATTTCAGAGCCGAAGGGAAGGCGGGATCCGCGGCGCACAGGAGACTGAGGCCCAGAGCGGGCAAGGCACGGAGCCAGGGCCCGCAGCGCCAGCCCAGCGCCCGCTCAGAGTCGTTCCTCCGCGCCTGCCCCAGGTGCGGGGCCACAGACCCCGCACCCACGGGGAGGGGACCTTGGAGGAAGACCCTCCCGTCACAGCTGCCTGCAAACAGTAGGTGTTCAATAAATGCTAGGGGGCTGCTGGTTGGGGCAGCTCAAGCTCAGCGGAGCACAGACTCTGGCTAGGAGGGGAACCCCAGCGCGGCCTGCGGTGTTCAGATTGGGGGAGATGAAGGCTGCATGGCGGTCAGCGGCCTGGGGGGGTCAGTGGCCCGCATGTCCATCTTCTGAGGCAGGCAGAGAGCAGCTCGGCATGGTGAGCGTCGGTGGCTGGGCGCTTTCCCACAGCTGGGCTGGCCAGCTGGAGCGTCCCCCTGCCCTGGGCCCTCTGTCCTGCAGCCCAGCGGGCTTTGTCCCTCCGCTTGCTTGGCCCTGGCTGAGGCGGCCCACATCTGCAGGGATCAGCTCTTGTCGGAGAGCTGACCTAGGCGCCGCCGACAGATTTCTGGGGGTGCACAAAGACCGCCGCCCCTCCGTGTGCAAACCTCTGTGCCTGCATATTCTGGCAAGAAGGGCTCTCTGGCTTTGAGCAGCTTCTTCTCAAAGGAGACCGTGACCCTGAATGGTTTGGACCCAATGCCCAGAAATCTATGTTACAGGAGGCACCCTGAGGGGCCCGGGGTGGGGAGAGATCGGCACCCGGTCACACGGGGATTTGACGGCAATCTGGAAATAAACTCCCAAGTCTCTGGACTTCCTGCCTCACGCTACAGAAGGTCTCACCAAATGTCACCTCCTCCAGGCAGCCTTCCGTGAGTCATCCCCTCCCCTCTGTGTTCCTTTATCCACACCTTGGTAAGACATCCCGTATCGCAAGTAGCTACCTCAATCTGTCCCCACTGGAGAGAGACATTCGTGAGATCCGGGACTATGCCACACTCATCTCTGTGTGGCTGGTCCTCCTTACATAACGGATGTCGTTTCCTGAGTGTCTATTATGTGCCAGGCACTTATGTAACGCTCAGTACTCCCCACAACCGCCCCACGAGGTAGGTAGCACTGCCCTCATTTTACACATGGCAAACACAAAAGCCCTCTGCACCTCCCACAGCACCATGCTGTCTCGTGTTTGTTGACTGACTAATGAATGGCATCTAGCTGAGGGCCTAGCACATGTGGCTCTTGACAGCCCCTCAGCAGGGTTGTGGAGTCTCTAGGAGTACAAAGTCCTGCTCCTGGGGCATCCTAGGAGAGAAGAACTCAAAGAAGGAATTTGGCCACAGAGGCCTCCACAAGAAGGGCAAGGTGGCTCAGAAACCAAAGGAGAAACCTGTAGGATGGAAGCATCGGGCCCCCATTGAGGCCACACAGCTGGGTGCAGCAGTCACACTGCCCTCCTGGTGTCGGGGCTGCACGGCAGATCTGGGGCCGGGCAGTCGTGCTCGGTCAGCCTTCCCATGAGGTCCGCAGTGACTGCAGCCCTGTGGTCGTCGATGGTTTCACATTCACTGATGTCCCCTGGCCCGTGATCGTCACAGGGAGGACCTGGCCAGGGCCCTTGGGGCACTATGTCACAGCGCCTGGTGCCACCCACTTTTCTCAGCACAGGGGACACTCTGGAAGCACCGGCCAGGTGTTCACATGCACTGTTACCATGGCAGCAGGACACATGGCAGAGAGATGAACTCAGGTTGTGGGTCTGTCTGTCTGCCTGCCTATCTGTCCTCCTTCCTTTCCTCTTTGTCTCCTTTCCTGCCCTTCTCCCATCCATCTGTCTGTCCATCCATACATCCATCTACCCTCTGACTGCTCTTCTGTGCCAGGCCCCGGGCCACGTGTGTGCCCCAGACAGAACACACACAGCATGGCGCCTGCTGCCCCTGGGCCTCCGCATCCAAGGGAAGAGCCAGAAGTGACCAGAACCATGCAGCACTGGCCGGGCATGGTGGCACACGCCTGTAATCCCAGCACTCGGGAGGCTGAGGCAGGAGGATCTTGCAAGTTCGAGATCAGCCTGGGCTACACAGTGAGCTCAAGGCCAGCCTGAACTGCATAGTGAGACACTGTCTCAAAAAGATAGGAAAAAACAAAACAAAACACACACACACACACACACACACACACACACACAGCACTGCCCATGACAGGGTGGGGAGGAGAGGTCCAGGCTCCGGCAAAGGCCTCTCAGGAAGCCCCCGTGGACCTTGGGCGCTCGGGAGGGAGTTGGGGGTGTGAGGCAGCAGAGGAGGGCAGGGCTACTGCATACCCTCGCAAGCACTCAGGGTGAGCTTAGGTCTCATCCCAAGAGTCAGGGGGCTACAGGAGGGTCTGACGTGCTTCAATTTGTGCTTGAAAAAGCCTTACAGAGCCAGATGTTACTGAGCACCTACTGTATACCCAGCCTCCATCCAGGTTGATGGGGCCCAGAAGGGGACGCAGAGCCACTTGGGGGAGGCAGAAGACGCTGTCAGCACCGAGCCCCGTTGGGGCCCTCCAGCCCTCCAGCCCGTGAGCCCAGGCCTCCCTCTTGCTCCAGAGCCCGGTGCACGGCCCGGCCGTGACTTTCCCCCTGCAGCTGAGAGCGAGCTTCAGTGGAAAACAGGAAGCAGAGCGTTGGTGTCTTTGGGGACGGAGCAGAGGCTGCACTGAAAACTGGGGGCCTCCTGGGGTCCAGGTGTCCCGTGTTTTGGTCTTGCCCTGCATTTGAGGGGTGCAAAGTGCGGGAGGACAAAGCCAGCCTGGCTCTGTACTGTGAGCTCTCAGAGCCTGTTTTGAGCCACCCACTTGTTCATCTGGAAAGAAAACATTTATTGAGCACCTACTATGAGCCAGATACTGTTCTAGGCACTGGAGGTCAACGGTGAGCAGACGAAACCCTGTCCAACATGTAGATATTGCATACATGTGCATGTTGCATTGAAAACTCTCAGTGTGGTGAGAAGTATCCAGTCCTGGGCGTTAGAGAGCCCACCCTTCCTCATATAGTTCAGTGGGCAAATACGACCTACTTCCAGGGCGCTGGAAGGGCGTGTGGTGGTTCTACCCCATTGCCTGCCCCCTGGAGAAACTATCGCCCATTCACAGAATGTCTTTCGGAGGCTGAGGCGGGAGGATCACAAGTTTGAGCACAGCCTGGGCAACTTAGTGACTTAGTGAGACCCTGTCTCAAACTAAACAAAAAATTTAGTACGAGCTAGGGGTGTAACTCCATGCAAAGGTCCTGGGTTTAACCTTACTACAAAGAAGAAAAAGAAAAAAAAAAAAAAAAAAAGAATGTCCAGAGCAGCTGTTTACAGTGTACAAAATTGGGAAACAGTGCAGATGAATAAACTATGATTTAATTCCCATGCTGAAATGTTACACCACATTCCAGATGCAGGCATTAAAGCCACCCACCATGAGAGGGATGGAAGCAAGGATTATGATTGACTCGCTTTTTTGTGAACCAAGATTATAGAAAAAAATAGAGTAAGCAGGGGTGGGAGGCAGCTGGAGAGGCTGACAGGAGGCTGAGGCAGGGAGGTCAGGGAAGGTGCCAGTGAGGTGACATTTGAACTCACACTTGAAGAAGGGAAGTTAGATGGAAAGAAGTGTGCTGGGGGTGGACGCAGCCCATGCAAAGGTCCTGAGGCTGGCAGGAGGGTTCTTGGGCTCTCTAGGAAAGCAGGGAGGTCAGTGGGCTGGGGGATGGAGGGAGCATGGACACGTGTTCTGGAGCTGACCAGAAGGAGGGGCAGCATGGCGTAGGGAGGGAGCGAGAGATGTGGGAGTAGAGAGGGAGGACGGTCCTGGGGTGCCAAGGGTCCAAATCCTGGATCTGCTCTTCCCAGCCACCGGCTGTTGGACTTTCCCTGG